CATCCACCTGAGTTCAACATGTTCAGCTGTTGAAACAAGGACTACAATTTAAAAGAATGCTCAAAAATTAAGATAATCAACAAGGCTAAAGAACAGCACTTATTTATTAAGACAGAGACTGGCTCCACAGTCCAGTTGTGAACTTTTAACAAGCTTGGCAATACAGAAGTGACAAGCAAAGCCCACTGCAGTAACAGGAGCTTCTTAAAAGCAACACATAATCATTCTAGGGGGTGACACAGAAGGAACATGAGTCTGAGACTAGCCTGGGCTATTAGGAGAGTCATTGTCTCAAAGAAAAACAAATCAAGATAAAAAGAGCCCTAACCATGCCCTGCTTTCCAGTGAACTTGAGTGAAGGAGAAGTATGAGGGTTCAGATCACCCCAGACGGCATGAAGCTAAAAAGCATGGGGTAAAGCTTTTACACAAACAGGGTAAAGTCTGTGGGTTTGAAATGCTTCTGTTCTTTCCTTTCTGTCCTATTGATTCTCAGATTCTATCTCATTTTAGCCACAGTTAAAATAACACAGATAAGCCACCCAAGGAAACAAAGGGATGGACTAGTTCAAGATCCAACATTCTTAAGCTCAGCCATCCTGCACCTGAGGAGCCTCCGGCTACATTCCGTATCGCAGAACCAAGCTGGGCTACAATGCTCATGCCACTTACTGCTCCTCCCTTCTTGTAAAGTTTATATATGAGCTCAGTATGTGGGCCCTGCACCCTCAGGCCACAGCAGCTGCATTCTTGGAAAAGCTGGGCCTTGCCATTTTGGTATGGCAACAGGACAGCTAACATGCCCAGGCTAGAAGCTTCCATCAGATTGTCAGAATGAGCTATGAAACTTTTGTTGTCATTTTAACTATATCTTCCCACACCGCCAGCTCCAAAAATAACAGTGTTCAGGGAAAAACAACCAATCAACAACACACACACACACACACACACACACACACACAACCAAAATATTTGTGAACTCAGCAGGATAGTTCAGTTTTGTCCCTAGGCTTCAGTTTGGTGATGCATAGTCAGTCTAACTCAGTTGTGACACAGCCCCTTTGGTCCCTTCTTCCTATAGCACTCTTCTGTGGACAGAAAGAAGGGAGACATGGGAAGGCGCAGAAGGAGTAAAGAGACTAAATGGGATGATGACCATAAGCAGCACCAGTGCAGAAATCAGAGGAATGGACTCAGAGTGCTTGGCCACTAGCACCTTAACTTGTTCAACCATCTCCCCAGACCTGATGCTGTCCTTCACACTTTAAAAACTCTGAGAATCTGAGCAAATCTAGTAGCTTCAGAGATACTTTGTCATCTATAAAAAGAGGATAACATGACTAAGAGCATGGGACTGTTGAGAAAACACAAATCATGCTGTACTTAAAAACACTATTGGAAAAGACTTGGGGAAAGAAGAGCCTGGAATCTGTTTGAGAAGGTTGTGTCTCTGGCAAGGCCCCTGGTTCTTTGAGGCAAGATTGTATCTCTTGATTTTGGGGAGCCTGTTATAAGCTTGCAGTAGCAGCAAGAGACAAGCCTATGAATACATTCACATGAACAGTGTCCAGGCCCAGGTGGGCAGAGTGGCTAGATGCACTGCTCACCCTCTTGCACCCTTAAGCTCTTGGGTACCGTTAAATGATTAAGCATAATCCTCACCCCTGGCAAAACAATGACCCCCACAAATACCCAAAAGAAGGCCAACCTGAGCCCACGTCCTGGTAAAAGACTCAATACACAAGAACCTTAATCTGCAGAGTAAAAGAAATCACTGGAGCTTTCCTCCAGGGCAGATATAACTCAAGAGAGACCAGTCCAAGGGACATGTCTGAGCAGGCTGTGTAACTCAGCAACTGCAACAACCGTAGTACTAATAACTATCTTTTGTGGTACATAGTAACTGTATTTCCTCAAGGCTTCAGTAAGGGAAGGTGATGAGGTGTATGGAATGAATTTAAGGAAGCTTCCTATGCAAATTCTCTTCCTAGAGAGATTCTAGGAATCTCTACCACAGAGTCTAGGAATTCTACCACAGAGATGGTCTCAAAGACATTTCCTCCACTTAACAGCCAGAGGCAACCACCCTTTCACACTACCAACCAAGAAGTCTGAAGAGAGGAAAGAAATGGTAGCCTCAAGAAGGTGCCCAGACTCTGAGACACTTCCTGGGCCAGACTTGAAAACTATTCCCTAACCATGAAAATGCAAAAGCCTGCAATGCTCAGCTCCCAAGCTCCCACTCTGTGTACATTTTATTCTTCAAACCACTTGTTCTGGTTTGAATTTCAGTTAGAGAAACGACCAGAGCTCAGTCATGAGGACACAGGTATGTAACTCTAGGTCGTAAAAGTTGTGATAAGTGAGCTCAGAGTAGGCCAAAGCTCCCCAAAATCAAGAGATGTAATCTTGCCTCAGTCTTGAGCACTAAGAATCAGGGGCCTTGTCAGACATGCAGTCTTCTCTCAAACATATTCCAGGCCCTTCCTTCCCGAGTTCTCTTGCAACAGGACTTGTAAATGCAGCATGATTTTCCATCATTGTGCCCATCCTTGCATTGTCTTTTTCTTCTCCCCTTCTCCTGCTATGAAGACGACTACAGAATTCGGGAGCTCCTGCAGAGACAAGTCAAAGCTGGGAGGAGGGAGTCTTCAGCAATTGTGATCTGTAGTCAGAGGGTGAGATTTCTCCAAAGACTTTAACTGGGATTATAACTGAGACTCATGTCCTCTGAGAGTCTCAAGACACTGACAACAGAAAGTGTTCTTAGGATTGCCTCAACAGTGACACCACTCATCACTCGACATGTGGCTGGTCCTAATTAAGATGTGCTATCAGCATAAAATGCGTGGGTTTCAAAGACTAAATATGAAAAAAATAATGCAAAATATAACAGTAATATTTTATACTTATATGTTATGTTCTTAATATTTGAATATAGTGAAGGAAATAAAGTATATTAAAACTCAAATAAAAGAAATCATTGCAGTGGACTACATACAAAAAGAAAATGTGAAAACAGGTGTCAACTCTTAAGAAGAAATCTGGGCACATGAGTCTTTCCTGAGACCGATACTCCAACCAAGGACCATGCATAGAGATAACCTAGAACCCCTGCTCAGATGTAGCCCATGGCAGTTCAGTGTCCAAGTGGGTTCCACAGTAATGGGAACAGGGACTGTCTCTGACATGAACTGATTGGCCTGCTCTTTGATCACCTCCCCCTGAGGGGATGGAGGGAAGCAGCCTTAACCAGGCCACAGAGGGAGACAATGCAGCCAGTCCTGATGAGACCTAATAGGCTAGGATCAGAAGGAAGGGGAGGAGGACCTCCCCCATCAGTGGACTTGCAGAGGGACATAGGTGTAGAAGGGGGAGGGAGGGTGGAATTGGGAGGGGAGGAGGGAGCTACGGGGGGGGGGGGATACAAAGTGAATAAACTGTAATTAATAAATATTTAAAAAATGAAAAAAAGAAGAGAATCAGTGGAAGAAGGGAAAGGAGAAGGGAATGAGGGTGAGCATGACTAAAATTCATTGTGAAGGGCACACAATAATCCATAAAAATATACCAATCAGGTGTCCATTAAAACTAAACTTAGATCTCCCCTATCAGTGGACTAGGGGAGGGGCATAGGGGGAGAAGAGGGAGGAAGGGTGGGCTTGGGAGGAGACAAGGGAGGGGGACACAGCAGGGATACAAATTGAATAAATTCTAATAAATGAGAATAAAAGATTTTTTAAAAAAAACTAAACTTAGTCTTTAGGCATTTTGAACTGTTGGCTCTCTGGAATTTAATGCGCTTGAGTTTTCCAAGGTCTAGAATCCCACACAGAAATATATAAACATCCTCAAAACCCCTGGGACAATATAAAGGACTGCAGCTGCAGACCTGGTTCTCACCTGCCCCGAGACCAACTGAAAATCAAACCAAACCATGGAACTAAGACCCAAAACTTTGAAACAGCTAAAGGGAAACATTTCAAGATGAAACACAGGCAATAACTTTCTGACGAAGACTCCAATAGCTCAAGTAATTACAGAAAAGAAATTAACAAATGTGATTGCAAGAAATTTAAAAGGTTTTACAGTGCAGAAGAAATAGTGTGACAGCTTGCAGAACGGGGAAAGGAAAGAGGCTTCACCAGCTACTCACCCAATGAGCTAAGACACTGAATATACAAACAATTTTAAGTTCTGAACATCAAAAAGTACAGATAATTTAACATGTACATGGATAAATGAACAAAACAGACACTTTTAAACAATTGGAATTTCAACATTTTAGCCATTGTGGCAAACTAAAGCAACATAGAGATTACATGTCAGTCCAGTCAGAATGATTTTCAACAAGAAGGAAACAAACAAACAAAATGGTAAGGATTTGGAGAGGGTTGAGAACACTAATAACGTTAATGAGAATGTAAATAAGTCCAGTCACTGCAGAAATCCATGTGGAGATTCCTCAGAATATGGAAAATACAATTTGCATATGACTCAAATATACCACTTGTGGGTACACATCCAAAAGGGTTAAGTCAGCTCACTCCAGTGTTGCCAGTACACCTATGTCTATTGCATCACACAGCCACATTATAAAACCAGTACAGATGTTGGTTAAATGAGAAACCATGGCGTATATGCACACTAGAGTTTTACTCCGCCATAAAAGGGAATAAAATATATCAATTGCAGGGAAATGGAAACCAGGGATCATTGAGTTAATCAAAATAAGCTAATCTAACAAAGATAAATATCTATGTCTCTGACACCTGGAATCTATGGAAGTAAAAAAAAAAAAGACGTAAAAGTAAAAGGAGGTTTATTAGGGATTTGGAAGAAGGATGAAAAAAAGGCAAGAAAGGAAGATAGTGGAAACTGATACAATCAAATTATATTATACATATGTATAGAAATATAAAAAACTGTTTGCTTTGTATAAAAATACGTAATTCATTTTTAATCAAAATTAAAACAGTAGTTATGCAACTGTGAAGTTTTCATTCTATCACATAAGAGTATAAAAACACCTTTCAGCTCCAATTATCATCACTTTTTATAAGTAAATAACACTTAAACATACAAAGAAAGAAGAAAGGCTATGATATTTGAACTACAGACTTCTCTTCCTCAAAATGCCTCACTGACCTCATGCTAATTTGGACTTTTCCTGGGACAGGTGCGTACATGGTAATGAGCCAGTGTGGTCCACAGATGAGTACTAAGAGGCACAGTTCAAACTTGTTCTCATGTAGCCTAACTAAACAAAAATGACTCCTTTTTATACCCATGGCAATCACTATCAAAACAAGGTGCTGTTTCCCTCCAAAGCCAGCATGGTGCCTCAGCTTCAAGCTAAGAAACCTGCCCTCTCCAGCAGATCTTGGCTTCTCTCTCCAGTGCATCCCCAAGTACAGGAACACCTAGGATCCTCCTTGGTTTACCTGAGTTCATACTGCCCAAACTGAAACAAGTGCCACAAGTTTCTGAAAGCCGGAGTCTAATCAGGATCATTTAGATCGTTAATGCTTCCCCATAATTAAGTCAATTTCTGATTAGAATTGTTATTTCAACACAGCTGGGTGGAACAAGGTTCAACTGTGGTATTTTAATAACACTGAGTTCCAATGATGAAAGAAGGGGAAAACACTATGTTCTTCACACAAAGAGGGGCTGCTCTTGGCTCCAGGACTATGAGGCAATTTTTGAATTAATTTTATAGGAGAACAGTGGAGCTGGCTTCACACTCCTTCTCGCCAATAATGTCCGAGGGAAGGCATGATTGTGAGTAAGAGTGTTCTGTCATGTGAGAAAACAGCAAAAATGTCAGCATCACATAATATATAACAGACTCAAACTTCATAGCGATTCCATCTTCACGTTCCTATGAGTAAACATTAGGATCCCTGTTTGGAAGATAAGGTACAAGAGGGTCAGAAAGCTGGGCCCCTCCACAATCGATAAGTATTAACTAACTCCTCTGCAGTGTAACTGCATGAACCACTGTGTCTTTGTTTATGGTGACATAACCGACAAACAGCTAAGGAAAGACCTAAGCCCAACCACCAGCCTCAAGTCCATTTCATTCTATGGCTGTCCCCTCAGAGGTCAAAGTCACCATGTATCACCACAGGACATCAGAGCCAAAGGGTCATGGTGGAAAGGACTCCAAGGTCCATCTTGTTAGTTTTCACCTCTGCAAGTAAAATCAGTGTCAGTGCTGATGATCAAAACACCTGCTATCACCAGAAAGCACTCATAAAAGTAACTCAGCCATAGTAGTTACAGTGCTGTCTCTGGTGAACCATCCAGGCTTGGGGGACTCCCGAACTCTCACAACCAATAAACACTACAGAAACACCCCAACCAAGCACTCATGAAACCAAAGTATAGAAATAGTGACAAATGACAGATAAACTCTAAAGTTTTGACGCTTTCCAACATAATTAGATCAGAATCAAACAGCAAAATTTAAAAGTACAGTTCCATGGACTCAGGTGTCTTAGACAATGTCTTAGCTCTCCATGCCTGACTCCCTTAGGCTGCTTCATAAGACTGGAACCTATCCCTCAAGTGTAGTCCTCTGGCTATGGCATGCAGCCCACATCAGAAGTTTTGAAAACAATCTCTGCCATCCACTCTGCCGGCCATCTCTAATGACCAACCTGCTCACAGTTACATCAGAGAATTGACCAGTCATACAGCAAGCTGCCTATCCCTATCCCAAGAATTTGAAATCTCCATGAATGGGTCAATCCTTTGCCTGCAATCACAGGGAGGTGGGGCCAAGAGTTACTAGTCACGTAACTGAGGCCAGACCAGGAGGTACCTGATCAATAGATGAGTCAGAGCAGGCAAAGAGTATAAAACGCCAGGAGCTCCACGGTGCCTCACATCGCCATCATCTCCTTCCCTCACTCACCTCCCCTGGTGCTTCGGGTAAGTGTGGGCTCTCCTGGCTCTCTGGTCTCTCCAGCTGGCCTTCCTCGGCTTGCAGAGCAGTTAAGGGACAGGGCCCATCTCCCATTTGGAAGCTACTACATTCAGGTGAGAAGAGATTTAGGAAGGCCCTGGGAGAATGGTAAGCTGCTGCTGGGCAGATGATGTTTCTGGCTCCTGAACAGAATGCTAAACTCCATTAAGACAGGACTATCTGTTACTTCTCTGGCACCCCAGAGGCTGAGGGCTAGAACACAGGATTCTGCAGTGGCTGCTCAAGTCAGCTTGCTATGGACTGGATGAACCTTGTAAAACCTGTTATGAGAGGCTGAACCCACTATGAGAGAGACAGACACAGAGACAGAGACAGACAGAGAGACAGAGTGACAGACACAGAGAGAGAAGGGAGGATGGATAAGTCACAGAATGGTGCTGATGGGAGATATCTGAAGAGCCACAAAACCCCAAGCCCTGCTTTATGGGGGCAGATAATCAGAGATAAATGACTTGTGAGATGCTGAGCTGCAATTTCCTACCAGCTGCAATTTCTACCAAACTTTGACTCCTGCATAACCTCAAAAGGATGCCTGCTGTCTTGTAGTTAGATGTGCTGGTCCTTCCCTGTTTGCTCACAGTGCCACAGGAGAGCCGCCTCATCTAATAACTGGCCCTTGGAGCATGTCCTCACCGAAGAGGACAGATCAAGAGTTTAAACTAAGGATTTTTTTTGCAGAAAATGAGTCCTACAGTCTGCTAATGTCCAAACAAATCTTTCCTTGTTGTGCTGGGAATGGGTAAAACCCAGGTGGAAATGTATTGCAATTTTCTACTGAACTTAAAGAATCAGGATTGGCATTTGGGAGCACCCTGAGAGATGGGCTGTTCCTTAACGGAACATAAGAAGCAGGTGGGAATGTAGGGTCCTCTGCCCTCCAAATCACACAGCAGAAGTCAGGTAAAGCTGAGCAAGAAGGAAGGTACCACTAACGGGGCTTTTAAAGAGTGATCCAGCCCCTGAACAGAGTTCAGACACCTGGTCCCTGGTTGGCAAGATGCTGGGAGTCAGAAGGATGTTGCCATGGATGCAGCTGCCTCCCTCACAGTGTCCCCTTGCTGCTGGTCCAATGGTGCTCTTCTGCTCTTCTTCCAGGGTTCCCCTTCTCCTTAAACAAGATGTCTCACCAGAAAAAGCAGCCCACTCCCTGTCCTCCCGTGAGTTGTGGAAAGGCTTCTGGTGGAGGAGGCGGCGGCGGAGGCGGCGGCGGCGGCGGCGGCGGCTGTGGCTACTATATCGGTGGTGGTAGCTGCGGAGGTGGCTCCTCTGGAGGCGGCTCCAGCTGCGGAGGCGGCGGCTCCTCTGGAGGCGGCTCCAGCTGCGGCGGCGGGGGTGGAGGCTCCGGAGGGGGCATCAAGTACTCTGGCGGCGGCGGAGGCTCCAGCTGCGGCGGCGGCTATTCCGGGGGCGGCGGCGGCTCCAGCTGCGGCGGCGGCGGCTACTCCGGGGGCGGCGGCGGCTCCAGCTG